ACCTGTCAGACTCTATGTAAAAACAAAAGCCAAATGAAGATCAATTGCCATATACTATTCTCACCGCAACCAGTGATCACTAGCCAGCTCATAGCCATGCACGGGGTACAGAGCACATGTACATATATCGCACTCCGTATACACAGCCTCGTCCCGGTCCGCAATAAGCGAACCCCGTAAATTGGAAAGTTACGGGGGGGGAAGTCGGATCTGTCAAGCCCGGACTTCTGCAACGCCCCATGATAGGAAGCATGTGCTTATATTAGAAGTGCTATAAGTACCTCTGTATAGTTCAGAAATTAGTTATGTATTGAAATTATACGTTGTACCAACTCAGGCAGCCAAGAACTTAGAAAGTCCCCGATACGGATATCTCATTTCACCTTTCCTGACATGTGGCCATACATATTAGAGTCACATGGAAGACATTCATCTATAGGGCACATATGTACTCCGTACATATTCCTATTCTGTTCCAAGGAGAAAAATAAAACCGGGAAATAACACCACAAAGGGCCTCAGCGCCCCTTAGTCACTTAGTCCTGCTCCACTATCGAACCATCTACACCATACAGAGATCGAAGCAGATTTGGAGGGACTATCACGTTGATATATCACATTTTTGTCGGTCTTTTTGGCTGGTCTGGAACACTTTCGCTCTCGGTTTTCCTCTCGTCTCGCTTTTGGTGTATTACGAGAGTCGATGTGACTGTCCACGGGTGTGAGCTCATGGGGTTTGGCACCGAATATGTCCGGCGCGTTGGTTTGACTGTTTCATCACCGACAAATAATGGTGTGCGGATTGGTGGCCTCCTTTAGAGTGAGGATTAGGAAGGTCGTCACTTTGACAAAAGTACTGTTGAGGGTTGGAACAAGATCAGTTGATGGATTGTTACTATGTAGGTAGAAATGAAACGGGTATGAGTTACTATAGTGGAGCACGAGAGATTTATAGGTGAAAGAGTTCTGATCTAGATACTTCGGAATAACATGCATGTTGTATAGATGGGTCGTGATAACAATTAGATTCCCTCAACCGATAATCAGTTGAACGGAATTCCGAGCCATCCAACTCAAGGTCTCGTCGTGTACATCATATCAAACCAAGTTGTCCATAAGCAAAAGAAGGATATCAAAATGTCTATCGCACCATCATATGGCATATCAAAGCACATCACAACGTCCCGAATCTCCCATCTAATAATCGCCTTCCAGCCAAAAAGAAAAGAGCGCCTAGTATCCAGTACAAACAGCCCGCCAGATCCCAATATATTCGAGATTGTAAATAGCCAATGTAATTTGCTGTCATTGAAGATGGGTATGGGTAAACGAGATGGAGGTTGGCACAACAAGCAAAAAAATCGAGGATTGCTGCGCCGTATGTACAAGATGTATGTATGACTGAGGAACGCCATTGGGGATAAAGAGTCAAAAGCACGTCACCGTGGATACGATCGTACATACTCTATAATGGACTATCTATAGGTACTTCTATCGGGACTGGGATGTCGCCTTCGCGGTGTGTCTGTCTCAGCTGGTGGTGGAACAGTTGCCACACACCCTTCAGCGCTTCTATGCGGTCGTTGGCATCCAACAGGTCGAACCATCTAGTCCGTTGCAGCTTCAGCACATGCCACGGCTCACCTTCGGTTATTGGGAAGGTGCTTTCGCCGTGGGTGAGAATGTCCAGATACCGCCTGTGGACGCGGAGATGGAGGATTGAGATGTGGTGGTTGATAGATGAGATCATGTAAATCTGCAAGAGGAAAAAATGGAGGGTTAGCTCTGTCCGGCCGTAATATGCAGAGTCAACATCAATGAACAACGCAGGGTATGCATACATCGTCAAATGGACTCTCCTGGACCTTTCCTATCTGCAAATAGCTCATCCGCTTATCCCAAAGACTAGGTCCAGGTTGCAGAATCTTCCACTTTTCACTGCTAGTAAGTCTGCGCATAGCACTCGGTTTCCGGGAGAGAGACGTAACAAACGGATGCTCAAACTTGGAGCGCTTGGAAGGGCCATCCGCCTCCTGGGCAGATGGCCTTATTTCTTCCATCATCGAGTCTGGCAGGGACATCCCGTGTCCCTTGTTAACCAGATCATCCAAGATCCCGTCATTGGGGGCGCCACCAAAGCGAGGTTCCATGGTCCACCATTTGCCTTCGCCGGGTCGCTTCTCGACTGCACCTTCGCGGGCACGCTCTTGCGCTGCGAGAAGCATGCCGCCCACTTCGCGGAATAAATCACTTACCTCACCAATCCCGGTCCCGGGGGTATTGTCCGCAGTGCGGAAAGAAGTCTCGGGTCGACACTGCGAGATGAGGACGGGACCTTCGAGCATGCCGCTTCGCGCAATCTGGCGATCTCGCGGGGACCGTGAGGACTGGAATGTTTGCCGGACAGGGAACAGGAGGTTCTTAGAGGTCAGCCGTGGCGGGAGCGTGGGGACTGTGACCTGGCATCCGAATGGCCATGCGACCATCTCCACGAAGGATCGGATTGTTTCGTCGCGTACTTCATCGGGCATCTCGGCCCCGTTGCCAATTCGGCGGCCCGTATACACAGGAACAGAGGGCCGCTGCTCATCGCCAACAATGTCGTTGCTCGAAGGCGCGGCTGTCTGTGTTGCATCCAGGTCCATTGGACCGTCTGTCAGAGAGTATCTGCCCTTGGATTCCTCGGTATCCATCTTCATTGTGCCATCCTCTGTCCGCTCCATCTCAGATGGGGGTGTCCGCTCAGGGGATGCCGGACGCTCGTAGTAATGGTCTAGGCTGGTATCCCAGTATTGAGCCATACGCTCCAATCCGGTCCAGAACTTCCTCGACTGCGTTATACGAACCCGGCTGCGACCCTCACGTGGCGGCAATCGAGCGACCTCGCGGAAAGCGTCGTCATTATCCAACGCCAGCTCTTTTTCCAGGATTTCATATCGATCCTTCGAGGGGTACGGGGCTCCATTGTCCATCAATGGTCGGGCATTGTCTTCCGTCGGTTCGGTAGTATCTTCCCATGGTAAGGGGGCGAGAGGGTGGGAGTGGTCTTCGGGGATCATTTGGGGGACTTCGACATCACTGTCTAATTGCAGGTTCAACGGCTTGAAGCGCTCTACACAGATATCCTGTGGGCGTTTGATGTCGGCCAGAAGGTCGGACATCTCGATGAGTCTCGACTCCGACCCATTTTCGATGACATTTGGTAGGTTGTAGACGGGGAAATCGAGAGGTGTCGGGTGAGCGGGGGGTCTGCGTTCCTTCTCCGGCTCTGAAGTGGTGGAGGGCAAGGCTACAAGTTGCGTTAGCTGAGACTGTTAATGTGGTTCATAGTCCAAGTCTGGACAGAACTAGGATCGCATAGGGCTTCAAGCCACAGGCGCCACAGTTAGGCGCCCCAATCCAACATGGCTTTGTGCCCAGTTGGACTTGTTGACATTTCAGCCGCCACAGGGGGGGCATGGCGGGGGAAGGGGGGCGAAAAACATCGAGGGGTAGCAAAAGGGAGATTGCTTACCCAGCCCAGAACCCCAGCCAAACATCTTTAATCAATAATCTAATGTAAATGCAAATGCACGATTATCGCAAAGTTCTTGTCCCCAAAGGTCACATGGGAAAATGGGGAACGGGAAGGCGGAAAGGCAGAAAGGCAGAAACACCGAGATGGTTTGAAGGTAAATAAATAAACAGAGTCGAAATCAAAATAAAACAACTCCCAATAATAATATGTAGTGATGGAAGAAAAGAGGGAAGAGATGAAAGGAGAGGACTTTTGCAGGTGGGGAATTTGGCGAGAACAAATGTCCTTCAGCCTTGGGCTGTGGTGTGGACATAGAATCTGAGATATATATTCTACCTATGATCTATCTACTTGTGTCCTATGACCTTTGACTTATGACCTATGACCTATAACCTATAGAATATTCGTAGGTGAAATTGTTAAGGTCAAGAGGGTGGGGGGGCCGAATAGGGATGGGGAATGTTATTATAAAGGGATGCCATCACTCTCTCCAGTCTCCCTCTACTCCGTACTTTGTTCTAGTACTGTAATATCTTCCCTTTTTTTTTGCCTCGCCTCTATTCTCTTATATCCTCCATGGATTTTATATGAATAGGTGGACTTCTTTCTACTTATATACTCGTAGTCACATGACTCTACTTCGTACCAAAAGAGGCATTGCTGCCATTCCACAATGCCGAGGATACACTACACCTAACTGCAAAATTTGCAAGACACCAACAGCTGAAATAGGTAAAACGTGAAACTTCAGGGAGTTACCCCAGGTTGGACCAGTCCTAATTTCAAATGAATCTCTCGCCAAACTCGAAACTGCCCTGTTTCGTCCGTGATACATGATACATTCCCCCGCTCAAATCCTACCGAAGGAACAATAATGACGAGCTTGTGTGCATGCAGAAAGGTTAGCCAGAGTGTCAGATTATGGAAATTCCCATATTCTCTGGAGATGATCATCCACTCGTGGACTACCTGAAGCTCTCTTATTGGGCCGATGGCTAAGCGCCGTCCATCTGTCACAGGAGGGGGTGGGAGCGTTGCTCCCACCCATAGAAGAAGCGCCGGGTTACAGACAAATGAAAGACAAAATCCCCTGTCAAATTCTGTGGGAGAAAAAAATAAATAAATCTCTGTATATAACCCTCCGACCTCTTCGTATCTGATATGATGCACCTTTTGGGCCCCAACGAAGGTAAATCGTGAACTGTATGGAATCCCGGCCTGATCACGGGATTATGTTCGCGGCTTTCTCGAGGCTTCAAAGAGTAAAGCAAGAAACAGAGGAAGATTGGATGAACCAAGGGAGTCAACTTGATAAGCCTACTACTTTTTCGTTTGTTTCGTCGTTTGCTTTGTCCGAGGACACTCATACAAAGGGATCCATCATTTTACGTCGCCCCCATGTTCCATTCATCGAATACGAAATCGGAAACTATCACCAGATCTGTCTGTTGAACGCCCGTGCTGCCTGCGGGCTCGCGGCGAGATGTCGAGTGCTTTTTCCGCCATTGCTACTCCCTCTGCACCGCTCAACAATTTAGTCCGGACGTGGTCCACACAATTATCCTCTGAATCCTCCAATCTGGTGACAATCACGTCAATTGAAACGGAGACTGTTTATCCTACATGGGTCTACACGATATCTGGCCCTGGGCCTAGTTCCAGCACAGCCACTGTGCTTGACTACCTAACGTCAACGCTGAGCCCAACCCCGGTGACCGTGACTCTGACAACGACTAAGCTGTCGACAACTAAGCTGGACGCCACAATATCGACTGCCAGCTCTACAACACCGGTAATCTCGGAGCCCCCAGTGTCGACTCCAATCCCAACCTCGGTTCTGTCAAGTTCAATGGTGGACTTTCCTATTTCGGCAACTTCGGAATCATCCGACCACTCATGGCAATCCGATACCTCTAGCAGTATGTGGATTTCACTTACTAGCTCAATTATATATCATTCATCGTCCCTGCCTGTCTTGCCAGAGACAGTCATTAGCTCCATAACCTCTATGAGCTCCTACAGTACCTCGCCCAGCTCCAGCGCTGCACCAACAAACACACCTTCAATATTACCATTCATCGGAACTGCCACTAGTGCAAGCTCTGCGGAAACAGCGCAAGCCGACAATTCTAGCCCCACATCGACCTCCAAAACCGGAACGATAGTTGGGAGCGTCATCGGAGGATCAGCAATCATGATCTTCGCCCTCCTAGCCTGCGCACTCTATATGCGTCGCCGACGACGAAAAATAACGACAGAGCGGCTGGGCATCAGACAGAAACTAATACGAGGTGACTCAGCGAGCTCATCAGTTAGCCACCACCACCACCACAACCGCCACAACTCCTTCCCCTCGATCCCAAGCAACATCGGCCCGCGATCACCCGTACTCCCAATCATCCCGCTGCAACAGCAACCCTCGGATCCAAACCTATCCCTGGATAGCATGTACCTGCGTGGTGAGAGAGCACCGCAAGGCTCCTTCGCGGACCCCATCATCGAGATCTCAGCCCCATCTCGCTCGGTCTCAATATACTCTACCTCCTCCCGGGGCGCCGGGGTCGGTGTGCAGGGGTACTGGGACTGCGAACGTGATGGCATGGATGCCCTTGCTGTGCCGCATGTATACTCGGATACGCCTGTGATGCGCGATAGCATGCGTAGTGACCCCTTCGACCTTGATCTTGAGCCTCCGCCAAATGCGCATCACCGGTCTTCTGTTCCTCCAGTCCCGACTGTGTGGGGTGATAACTTTTAGATGGCGAATTTTCGCTCCTTTGATTTTTGTTTTAGTTTGTTTTGTGCTTTATGATTTCATTTGGGGGTGTTGGTTTGCTTCCTGCATATACTATACGTTTGCGTTGATAAACTTGTGTTTTGTTTTGTTTTGTTTACTTTGATTTATGACGACAAGATCTTACGAATGTTACGTCTGCGTGCTTTTTCTTTCTTTCTTTCTTTCTTTCTTTCTTTGTTTGTTTTTTTTGCATTTGCATTTGCTTTCGAGTTCGGCGTTGAAGGTCTCGGTTGTTCATTGAATTTATATATCGATATGTATGATTTAAAGGGAGGGCGGAAGGACTCAAATTTTATCTATATTTCAAGATATATTGACATATTTCTACCATGTCTCGCCTAGTTTAGGAGGCTATTTATTTTGATAAAATTCTGCTAGCTTAGTCTTTAGGCAGTGTTTATAGAAAATAGATTGCGTCCTACATCTGCGGACTCGAATGACGACACCACGCTCGAGGTATAATTGTTGTCTATTTGGGCAATTAATATGTTTTGAAGTAACCGAATTAGCTAATGACGTTAAATTATCCTATGCTTTACTTTTATGCTGGTATTTAGCTGTTAATCATAGCGTTTTATTCTCCGAAGATTGTGGGGTTGTGTGATATAGATATATATTTCAAGGTTCAACGGTACATGATGATATTTCGATGCAAATCTAGTTAGATCTTTAATTTGATTATCTGACAGATATTATAGAACGGGCTAAGAAAACCAAGCCCTTTATTTCGATTTCATATCCACGTCAAAATTGTGGGTTGAGGGGCTGTTAAGTCTAGAAGTGAGTGGGTAGGCCATTTAGATCAAAGTCCCCAGAATAGCAATGGTGTAGCCACAAGACCCATATAAATTACATTGAATATCTTTGATCCACGATACTGCAGTTGCCAAGGGGATAGGATTGCGAGAACCATCGAGACAAAGTCTGCATGAAGTACGAAATAGACGTCCATGATACTCCTTGACTGGTCAGTGACGTATATCTGGGTGGTTATTGTGAGCAGCAAAATCCAGAGCACAGGGGATTTATGAGAAGGACATCTAATAGGATACAGGTAGGCTTATAGAGAGAACAGACACGATCTGCTTCTCTGCATATTAGGGTTATACCTCAAGAGCGCAGTAGATATGGACCGGGAAAGAGGGTGCGGTTTTTGTTGTGTTTTTTGGTGAAGTAAAAAAAGATTTCCTTTTGCTTTCTCGTTACGTTTTAACAAGAATAGCTTGAGTATCACATCATCATCGCATCTTCCTATTTCCCATACCCCATATTTTCCGAAAGATCCAACAAGGCCACGAACCCCATGCTATCAGAGAAAACAAGGGAAGGAGAGAAAGTCGTAACAGAATCTAGACTAATAGGAAGACGCCGAAGGCCGACCTGAGTTCGATATCGGGAACAGCCTCGAATCCCGAATCCAACCCAGAAGTTAACCGTTTCCAACCTCCGGACCGCCGAATTGCAAGAAAAGCGTCAAACAACGGAAGGGTAATTGAATTTTTTGTATCAGATTTACTCTTCGCTGATCAGAGCGTTGTGCTTAGCCTCCTTGCGCTCCAACCGACGCTCACGGAGAGCCTTGTTCTTGGCACGCTTAGCGTCCATCTCCTCCTTGAGGACACGGTCGCGCGCACGCTCAGCCTTAGCCTTCTGGATCTGTAGCGGTGAAAAAGAGAACAAGTCAGCTTGGATGTTCTGTTTTGCGTATTTTATAGGGGAATTCATGGCTTCATGTTCCATATTCGATCGTCACTCGTGGGGGTTGATCCGGGTTGTAACTTACGTGCTCAACGAGGGCACGCTTGTGCTTGAAGGTGTTACCCTTGCTCAGGTGGTAAAGCTCGTGGTAGAGGTGCTTGTCGATCTTGCCGGCGGCGCGGTAGCGGACGAGCAGACGACGGAGAACACGCATGCGGCGCATCCAGAGGACTTGGCTAAACAGAGGAAAACAATATCAGCAACTGTGCCTCGGGTGCCAGTTCCGTCGGGCGAGTTCGACACAGGCCAGACGGAGCCAAAAGTTGATGATTGTGATTGTGCATACCTGGGCATACGGGCATCCTTGGTACCCTTGCGCTTACCGAGACCACGGTGACGGCCGTTGCGGCGGGCCTCGTTAAGCTCACGGGCGCTGGCACGGGAGTGCATGGTGACGGGCTTGCGGATGATGAGGCCATCGGCGACGAGCTTGCGGATGGTCTGGCGAGAGTTGGCGTTGGAGATCTCGTTCATCTCATTGGGGTCGAGCCAAATCTTGCGCTTGCCGCAGCCGACCACGGAGGCGGCGAGGCGCTTCTGGGTGGTAAGGTTGACCCTGTGGTGAAAGACCCAGTCAGCATCATGGCACACACATCACGAAGTTGTTCCTCCATTGTAACGAAAATATCGGGTCCACGAGTTGGGTGTTGGGCATGAATTTCCACAGCACACGGGAGTGCATTCGAAAAGTTCAATAACAGCTTAGAGATGAACTCACATCTTGATGTCGGCGTATCGACGGTCGTTGGCGGATGATGTTCGTGGCACTGAGAAATCCCGACGGTGAGAGTTTGAGAGGGCACTGCGGGCCACATTAGGTCAGCCGAGGGCTAAGCGAGTGCTCCTTCCACAACGGGCGGAGTGCTCCAGGGTGTATGCCCTAGCGCTAGTCCGAATCTGGACGATTGGAACTTGAAGATCTTGCAGTCCGGGGAAGCCAAGAGTACTTACACTGGGAAAAGTTGGAATAAAGACGCTGGGAGAACAAGATAATTGCAATTTGGGTTTTATTCATTTCTTCTCCTTTGCAGTTTGCTATAGCTTTGGTTGTAGATGACAGAAAACGAACTCAATCACGTGACGTTAAAGACAAGCAGTGTCACCTGACTTGATATTTACATTTTAGGAAAGGGCGATCTGCAGTATAAAGCAATAATTCGATGGCTATGTACCCATTGATATAGAACAACATGATATGAAATATACAAAAACATACATATGCATAACTTTTGTACGACTAAAAACAAATAGAACCCAAGGGTATATCTATAAACATGTAGATGCTCCTTGGATGCAAACAAATCATCACTCATCGCCGAAGGCCTCTCCAAGATCGACCTTGCCAATGCTCCACAATTCCTTCTCATCATCTAGTTCATCATTTGACAGTCCCAAGCCACCCTCACCACCTTCGGCTTCCCGACGCTCACGCGCCTGGTTAGCCAAACGAACAGCAATGCGCTTGAAGTAGTCAGACATGCTGCGCTTGGGGCCTGGTGGTAGAGATGCACCCGGACCAGCCATATACTTATCAAACACCTCGCTGTCAGACTCGACTACGGAGAAGATGGACAAGAATGCTGCTTCAGCAGCCAGCTTGACGGGAATCACCAAATCACGGACACTAGCGAAGACAGGCGGTGCGAGCAGAGCCAGATGAGGACGGGTCAACTCGGGGTGAAGACGGCTGACAGTTCGGATGACTACCAAGCTCAACCGCCGGGTATCGACTGGGTTGCCAACCTGAATGGCAGATGCTAAGGCCTCAAAGATGGTCTTGCTTGACTCGAAAGCATGGTCGCCACCGCTGGATAAGAGGTATTTACCTGCAGCAAGGGCGCTGTTGTCGGAGACGAAGGGCTGTTTTTGAATTAGCTTCGAGTAATAATGGGTGATTTAGTATCCCACTTACATCCTTGTTTGCAAGACCTTGGCAGATGACGGTGGGTAGCTCCACAGAGAAGTGTTCTGTCAAAACCTCGGCGCATTCAGCTAACAGAGCGTTCAGTCCGAGGATTGCTGCATGAGAAAGGGAACCAGAAAGGATACGGCTCCTACGGGAATGTATCAGTATAAGAGAAAATCAAATCACGAGAACGAATATGCATACTTAATGAGAGGAACCGAGCTTGCGGCAGGGAGGACCTTCACGAGAGCACCGAGCAGACGAGCGTTGGTAATGGCAATGGAGTCTATGAGTATGTTAGACAGCCATGGGACACAGGAATCGTTAATAATTAGCTTACCAGTCTGGTCGCTAGAGTCGTCATCAATCAGACCAAGGATCGCTTGCCGAGATGCCTCACTCATGTTGGCACCGGCCTTGCTAACTACCTCCTGAAGAGCATTCATCATGGCGTTCTTCACGCCAATGTCGGTGGTCTTCGATCCAGCAATAAGTTCTAGAGATAAAAGTCAGCAATGAGCTACATTCCATGTATAAAACTTCCTGAGACTTACCAGCAATAAGAGGGTCAACCCTGGGGGTCAGTGTAATCAAGATACCAAGACCCTTGGCAGCCCGGGTACGCAAAGTCTCGCTTGTGGTGTCGGCCAGACCACGGGCGAATGTACGCTGGAGCTGAGGCAAGAACGGCTTAACAGCCAGCGGGATCTTCTCCAAAAGCTTGTTAAGAGTATAGAAGATAGCGCCTGGTAAAATAAATCAGTATACAGATACCACATACAGATTTTGCATGACTTACACTTGATATCGACTGAACGTTCTGACACAACACGAATGAGCGGACCGGTGATCTGGGTCACGAAAGGCTTCAATGACTCGGCACGAGTCCGGTCAATGATATCGGACATTGCAAGAGCCGACTGGGTACGTTGATCGGTAGTACCGTTGAGAAGACCTTGCAAGAAGATTGGCAAGATAGCCATGATGCCCTTGGGCAGGCTGAAGCCAGGCAGATCCGCGCCAGCCACGCCCACCTGTCGCAGAATCTGGCGGGTGGGAATAGCCAAGCTCTCCATCTCTTCCTTACGCATGTGAGACATGAGACCAGTAAGGGCAGTCCATGCCGCCTTGACGACATCCTTGTCTGGGTCGTCGAACGAAATCAGCAAGGCACGGATCAAGTCCTGGTAGTACCTCGAGAAGTCGACCTCGGCTTCCGCAAAGAACTTAGTCAGATGGAGCGCCGCAGCAGCGCGACGACGGTGATCGTCGTGCTTGACTAGAGTGACCATCACAT